TTCTCTCAATTTGTCTCTTGTGTATATGTGTGTATACATTTATACATGTGCACGTGTGTTTTTCTATAGTTTATGTGGATGGTCCAAATAACAATATCAGTGTTATAATAACAACACAAATAACAAATATTAAGTATTGACTGTATGATAAAAGTGCTATTTGTTGACTGAATGGCAGGAAGCCATTGTGCGACATCTCACCTGAAGTGCGTGGAGAGTGGTCAGAGGAGTTTCAATAACAATGACAAAATCAAGAGAAATAAGTTTAAATAAAGTTTAGTCAGACTGTATTTACTTGATTATGAAATTGCTCTGAAAGGGAAACACTGAAACCACGCTCTTATAGGATTCTTACCAGTAAGGATACTGAAGAACATAAGTTATTGCTGTCCAAGGCTTTAGTAGGAAGTCATGGAAAGATGTTTTCAGTGGCTTTACACTTCTAGATGGTTTTCCTTAAAGTATGTTTAAGTTGGCTGTCTTCATTCTCACCACAACTTGTAGGTCCATTACTCCTTCCTCTTAAAGTGGACCCAGGGGTGGTGTGAAAGTGAAAGCAAAAGGATGACCATAGTTTTTTAATTTCCCTCACGGTTTTTCAAAGTTTCTTCACTTCTCTAAAACTTAACGTAAGTTATCTTGAGAGATTATCTTTATCACCATGGTAAAGAGTCAAGTAATTTATACTCTTGTTCCTTAAATCTTTCCAGGAAATGCACTCTGTATTCCCTTCCTGCCAGCTGAGAATCCAAATTGTGGAAATCTGTTCACAGTGTGCCAGAGTCCCAAGCCACAAAAAGGGAATTCCTGCTGGCCTCCCAGTTACTTTGAGAATGAACAACACTTGACTCCTTTAATAACCAAGTTGCTAGTGACCTATTAAGCCTGTTACTAAATAAGTGATTAGCACTTCATTGTAAGCACTGCTGACTATTCTTGCAAAATATTAATTCAGTATTAAAAAAAGTTTCAAAGTTTCAACAACTGCCATTAAATCTCCAAATTTTCTAAGGATGGCGATGCAGTCACCTATTGGTAGTTCACCTGGAGTGGCCCTGGCAGCCAGTGGGCTGGTCTGTTTTTGGGAAATATGGAAAGACCAAGTAGGGGAAGGTCACTTCTCAGATTTACTAACAAGCTCTGCAGGCAATCTAAAACAGATACCCTCTTCTCTCACTTAATCCCTACACCACACAGCCTCAGGGGTAGGATTATATTCTAAAGTGAGCACTTGAAAGACGAGGAATGCTTTGATTCATAGTTACAGCTAAGTGACAAGCTAATTCTACTCCTGCCTTTATCCTGCACGTACATGTTCCCACACCCCAGCACCTTTCCTTGAGTCAGGCAGGAGGAGCTCATGTGAGTTCAACTAAAGTAAGAAGAGCCAATTAGAGGGTGAGTGTGTGGTAGGAGGGGGCGTGGGCAGGGGGTTTGTTCCCCTGTTGCCAACACTGTGTCTGACCCAGAGTCAAAGGCAAAGCCTGTTTATTGAATTGAAGCAGCTGATGAAAGACAGATTCTCAGGACTTGAGATACAAATCTGTTATTCTCTTCTGAAAGGTCCTACATTTTGTTAATACACATGTGCATGTTGTTTTCTGTCATGACGTTTGCCAATTTTGACCAGCTTTTCCCAATCCTACTTCTTTTTCCCAAAGATAGAAATTAAAACAGGAAAAAAGTTAAAGATTGGGGACTTCCCTGGTGGCATAAAGCGTTAAGTCTCAGCACTATGAAGCTATCTGCAGCTACTGCAGCACGATTTCCTTTCCTGGCCAGGGAGCTGACCCACATGATGCAGCAGACCTCTCCTGTCTCACCTGCTACTCCCCTCAGCAGTGTATTTCCATCGATCTGCCTGTTCTGTTCCCCACGTTGTCTCTGGTAAATCCTCTCACCACCCCATACCTTTGGCCTACACTTCAGCTTTCGTGCGCATGAATGAATAAAATAAATCTTTAAAAAAAAATCCTTCTGTCCTAGAGTCACAGGTGAAAGACAGTAATATGCACATGAGTGGGTCAACTCAACCTCACCTGGGGTACCCTGAACCAGCAATTAACCCACGGTCTGGTTGGGGCTGGCACCTTCACTTCATGTGAAGTTTCTTCACATTCACAACTCAGGGCCCACAAAAGTAAAATTCCTACAGAAGTTGAGTTCTTACATAATAATCACAATACATACAAGAAAGTGTTAAAGGTTAAGAAACATAGTCTGATGTTGTAAATCATAGGCATGTCATTTACACTAACCACACACATACATACACGTACATGATGAAAAACCTTAGGCTAAGAATTCTAGAACAGTCTGGAAAAATATTAAATCCTTTTGTTGATAAAGAAGGGAGTGGCATCCCTAGAACAAAAGTATTCAATAAAACATGCTTTCTGGCAAAAGAACAGGTGAGTATGGGAAAAATTAGAATTACCTGCTGGAGAGGTGATAAAGTGATGAAAGCTAAGATTCTTCAAAATTGAAGGACATCAGTCCTTAACTTAAAAAATTCTACCTAATGTTAAGTAAATACATATAGTAATAGTGAATCCCTACCAGATCCATCATAGTAAAACTTTAAGTACAAAGAAATGCCTTGAAAGATACTGAAGGTGGGGGATGGGAATTATCACATGCAAGTAAAAAGAAAATAGGTCATCTGTTCCCTGGGGAAGGAGGTAAGAAATAAAACAATTTAATACAAACCCTGAAAATGTGAAGCCAAGCTGATCTAGAGCAACAGATGGAATACAAAATGGCACAACCACTCTGGAAAATTCTGGCAGTTTCTTATGAAGATCAACTTCAGTCACCATCCATCCCAGTCCCACTCAAGAGAAAAGAAAATGAATATTCACACACACAAAGTTTTACACAAATGATCATAGGAGCTTTATTTGTAACTGTCAAGAACTAGAAACAGTCAAATATCCTTCAACAGGGGAATAACAAGCTATTATATACCCATGAGACAATACTCAGCAATAATCAAGATGAAGTATTAGTACAGGTAGCAACACCAGAGAATCTTTAAGGTGTTTTGTGCAGTGAAGGAAGTCAGTTTCAAAAGGTTACATACTATGTGCTGCTCTTGTGTGACATTCTGGAAAAGGCAAACCCATGGAGTTGGGCAAGGGAGTGAACTGCCCCAGACTTGGACTGGAAGTGGGGAGTGTGTGAGTGCCAGGCAGCAAGACTTGATTTGTTTAGATGGTGGAATTTTTCTACCTGACACAAATCTATTAACAGAACTGTGAACCCAAAAAGGTCTCTGAGAAATTTAGAATTTAATTAATTTTAAAAAATTGGTGCATGAGTGTGCAGCAAAGAAAGGACATTGGATAATGCAACTTAAGATCAGTGATCGACTGTCTCTTTTCTAATGATTGGAAGTCACAGTCCAACTGATGTCCAATCAATTCCAAAGCTCTGGGTTGGGCAGAAGGGGGCATAGATTTCTGAAAATTGTGTTTTCTTAAATATTCATCACACCATATGCTAGAGTTAGAAAAATGTTTCTATATCTTCTAAGGCTATCAAATAGAAGAGGCAATTTTAGTGAAAATTTAAGGTGACATTTTTAACTGAAAATTCTTTTAATAGGGAGGCCTCCCCAGTGGCGCAGCGGTTGAGCGCTGGGTTGCTAAGCTGCCCGCGGCCTCTGCGGCACCGGTTCGATCCCCGGCTGCTCCCCGGCCACCGGAGGAGGGTCCCACATGGTGCGCAGACCTCTCCTGCCGCCCGCTGCTCCCCTCAGCAGTGTGCTTCGGTCCCTCTGCCTACTCTGCTCCCCGCTCTGGTTCTGGTGAATTCTCTCACCCTCCTGCGCTTCTGACTGTACCCAGTGCTTGTATAAATAAATAAATAAATATTAAAACAAAATTCTTTTAATAGGAATAGGGATTTCAACTTAATGAAATAGAAATAAATTTAAGCATACTACAAGATACGGATATATCTTTAAACATGAAAAGTAAGGATTCAAAAGATAGACTTTGTACCTGAAATTGCATAGGAGGAAGGACCAAATATAATAATATTTCAGGAGAGGCAGTGTATGCACAGTTCATGGATCTACTGTTACATATTGAATTTGAAAAGAATTAACAACAACAACAAAAAGAATTAAACTGACTCAATTTTTTATAAGATGATGTCTTTTATTTGTCTGCTTTTTGCCCAAAAAAAGCCTAACTGCAGGTATTTATCACTCAGCCCTCCCCAAGAGCAGGTTAGGGCTCCCGGTCTCATAAAATGAACATTGTGCTTGTTGACTTTCTTTCTGGCTGCATGCCCTAGGGTGGGGCCAGTTTGGAACCAAAGATCCTCAGAGTATAACTGAGTATTCAGTCCCCTATTCTTCCCTGTTTGAGATCAATGTTTATTACACAAAGTCACTGAAATGACCATGTCTGTCTGACCACGTCTGTCTGGTTAAGATGAAGTCTGTCCCCACCCAGCATGTGCTACAAACTCCAACACAATTCCAGGCAGGCCTGTGCACCCTTGAGAGAAGAAGATGGGCAAAATTCGGACAATAAGCAGTTACCTTCTTAGAGATACTCAGCCTGGGAGGAGAAAGCTACTTTGGGAGAAATTGTCTTGAATAAACCACTGGACTCAATCTACAGATGGCATTGCTAAGGTGGGTTTGGCATGGGACCAGGGGTTAGCACCAAGAAAAAGATAAGGGGGAGAATCATAGTGGTATAGTTGTTGGCTGATCCACCCTGGCAAACTTGTTTCTCAGAAAAAGTTCTCTTTGTGGTGCAGAATGAAGCTCAGCTCAGCCAGTGACAAGGGGAGGTGAATCACCACATTAAAAGGCAGCCCAGCAGTCACCCAGGCCCCTCATGGCTCACACCTGGTCCTTCCCGAGTTGAAATCCAGGCAAAGACATTCCCACTGACACAATGGCAGTAAACACTGATACCACAGAGGGAGGCAGGGTGGTGTCGACCAAGAAAAACACAATGAGCCCAAAGTACAATAATATCTTTTATTTGGGGACTAAGGGTACAAACTCAGGTATCAGCCCAGATTAGACCCTGCTGGGGTCTTTAAGAGGTTTTTAAGGGACAAAGAGAGGGGACGGAGAAGGCAGGATCTCAGAAGCTGCTCACCAAGAACTAGGATTGGTTGCAGATGATATTCCTTAGAGTTCATTGGCTTTTAGCCGAGCTGGCCTTGGTTACTATGGAGAGAAGGAAAAGAAAAAAAAAAAAAATCTCTGCACGGTTCTAGAAGATTGTGCCTAGCTGGAAACCTGCTCCTTCCTGTCAGTAAATATTTTTTTTTTAAGTTAAAAGTTCAGTAAGATAGAGTTTCAGCACAAGATGGAGTTGTTTAGTCTGCCTAGAACATTCCTTTTCACAGTGGGAAGGGAGGAGGCTACATCAGACACTGGGGGTGGGGGTGGGGGACGGCAATGGCAATGAGGAGGGGAAGGGGAGCAGGAAGAGGGGACAGGGTCTTCTCTGTCCCAGACACACTGTGAACCCAAACATCCTACCAACTGCAGGATGATGAGTGAATGAGAGAGATCAGAGAGAGGAAATTTTCAGATCAACTCCTAGGAGGGCTGAACTTTAAGGAAAGTCCTGCTTGTTCTAAGCCACCTCTTCCAAGGCAGTACTTCTGCGGTCTGTGCCTCTCACATTCCCTGATCTGTCTCCTGTCTTGTCCCCCACCCCCTAGCTGGGACTTGGTAGGGGACCATGCCCATCAAACAGAAGGTAGCATCTTCATGGGCCGCTAGCCTGGAGCTCTGCAATCTAGAAGGAAAGCATGCAGGTAGTTGGCATGATTGCTGGCAGAGACCTTACAGCATTCCTGAGTCTCCTAGCAGCAGCTCAGACTAGCAGAAAGGCTTGTCAGGTGCAATGCATGGCCTGCTTCCTCACCCCCACATGGGGATAGTCACAGGCCACGTGAATGAAGATGTACCAGGATGGAATAGTCTACACACATGTTCCTGGCACCACCTTGGAGCGGGCACCCCTGGAACACTGTGCCTACCCAGGCACGGGTGTCCCTCCAGCAAAGCATCCGTTCACCATAAAACAACTAGCAATCTTATTAATTGGAAATGAAACATTAAAACAAAAGACACTATATTTTTTTTAGTAGAAAAGAACTTGAATAGAATTAGTATGAAGGGCCTCCCTGGCGGCGCAGGGGTTAAAGATAGTGCTATCAAGCGATCGCCAGCTACCACAGCACAAGTTTGATGCCAGGCCAGCCAAGGAAGAAACTCACATGGGATGGCAGACCTCTCTTGTGTCATCCGCTGTTCCCCTCAGCAGTTTATTTCAGTAGATCTGTCTGGTCTGCTCCCCACTCTCTCTGGTGAATCCTCTCACCCGTTGCACCTCTGGCTTACACCCCAGTTCCTGTGTGCATAAATAAATAAATCTTTAAAAATAAAAGAATTAGTATGAAATAGAGAGATGAGAAGACAAAGAATACAGTTTTCAAATGAAGCACCCAAAATTGCCCATCCCCTCATGAAAATGCCCAGCCAAGCAGAGTTGGCCCAAAGCAGGGCCACAGAGGTCCAAAAGCTTGCCACAAGTCTGAGGCAAATTCTGGGAGGAAACCACAGGAAGGAAGCAGAAGGGGCGAGACAAGTCTGGAATAAAAAGAATAAAATCAAAGTACAAATCAAAGGAAAGGCTGCCATTGTCAGCCTCCCTGCAGATCTCTCACCCACATCTCTTCCAAATGTCTCCTTCCATGTCCCCCAAGTCCCTGGTGCAAGTCCAAGGCTGGGAAGCAAGCATGGCTACTTCACATGTCTCTCTGCTCAAAGTGCCTCCTCTGATAGTAATTTTTTTAATCAAGTGCACTTTTGAGCTTCTTCTTAGAATTGCTTTTCCTTTAATGCACGTATTGCCAGACACCATAAAGCAATTTTTAAAATAAATCAACACACATAATTTAAACTGATAAGAACAGGTATTACATTTAATCTTTGCCAAAAGGCCAACATATGATAGCATATACAATTTTGAGTAATGTTTTTTAATAATTTTTTAGGAGGTTAAAAATGTAAGAAAGGGAGGATATTGTGACAAACTCATCAATAGGTGCTTGAGTGCTAAGAATAGATTCTTTGACTCTGACTCAGAGAGAGGGAGAAAGTACCAGTTATCCCTTGATCAACAAAGGTCTTCACAGATTCATCGAAGGGACAACTTGGCATCTTGGATAAAAGCTTCATCAGAAAAATCTATGGAATTTCCTCTCCTGGAAGGAAAAAGAAGAAAAGAGGGAACTGAAATTGATGATTATACTCATTAATTTCTCTTCCCTATTCTATAAAAATTTAATTATTGTTTAAATCTAAAACTAGGTGTGACATTGTTAAGTGCTTGAGAAATGAGAAGCAACCAGTCCTGCAGCAGCACTGAGCTCACCACTCTCAGGGCCCAAGGATTCTCCAGCCTCGCTTGCTCCACCTGTGCATTTGCTTCTTCACCCAGTGGTTCAGTTATTCAGGCATCTCCTTAAAAGCAAATATTCCAGTACTTTTGCTATAAGGCAAAGGATCTAAAAGAACTGTCATTGGCTCAGAACATCTCTCAGTGGCTCTGGGTCTGGTCACCATAAATACAAACGAACGGGCCTTTGGTGCAGCAAAAGAAAAAAAGAGGATATATTTTAACGTACAGGGTAGAGGGAGAGGGAGAAGGTTGGGTTTCCATGATGTAGCGCTGTAGCTATAGGACCCAACAGGGTGTGGCAAGGCCTGCTGTATCTGGAACAGGGACCTGGAGCACCCAGGGACAAAGTATTACCAAGATCTGCCACCACTTGGGAGGCAGGGTGCAAGAGAAGCCTCCCTGGCCGGATGGCTCTTATTTGCAACAGCTCTGACAAAAAAATAATTGGAGCCAATATGCATTCCATTTTAAAGACTTCCAAAATGGCAGCTCTGCTCCACCCCCTTTTCAGCAGCCACCTCGCTCAGAACATCAGGGGCAGAGTTCAGACCAAGGCACTGTGATAGTGCGAGCCTCGTCCTCTCTGACTCAGCAGTGTCAAGAAGTCAGGAGGTAGAGTTTGACCCTTCACCCTGGTGGGAAAACCTGAAGGATTTATGCCTAGCCCAGGAGGTAGCACCAACCACACTGAGACCCACTCCAACATTTTGACTTAATTCTTTCAGAGATAGCCTGGATGCTACCTTTTATTTATTTATTTATTTATTTTTAGAAACATTTACTTCCACATAATCAGAACTTCATCCCTGTATTGCCAATCAATTTGGGGAAATTGTGGCACTATTTTAGAAACCTGCATCCCATCATGAAATGCTTATAGGGGTCATGGAATCATTTGAATCATGGAATCATTTTTTCATTAGAAAAAAATTTCTAATGAATCATATTATAGTCCTTCATGCCCCCAACCCGGTTAAAAATCACTGGAATTATTTAGAAATGTTTCCAATACTACATGATGAACTTTTGACAAAGTAATTTTACGGTACTTGAACTAGATCAATACATTCTGGTCAATACAATAAGGATGAGTTTGCCCAATATGGCAGGCACATAATGGGATGCCAAAAGCTATCCATAGTTTATCTTTGTGACTACACTCTATTTCTCCAGAGATGTAAATCAAAACCATTTCCCAAAGCCATATACAGAGTTTTAAAAAAATATACCTAGTAGTTTTTTGAGGCTACAGCTTCAGTATCTCAAGACATTTTGCCTATTAAAAAATCCATAAATTTTCAAGCTAAGGTGAAAAATAATCTAACATTACAACATGTAGCTGGGACTAATCTATTTCATTACTTTTTTAACTCAGGAGAAAACCCAGGAGATTTATGAGATCTACCTAAGAGATTAACCAGACATCCCCCTTTAGCATCTGATGTATATCAGAAAGATCTCTAACTCCCATCTGGTTATAATAAGGATAACAGAGAAAAGGCTTGGGTGTTATACTGACTCTAAAGAATCAATTCTTTTTACTTGAAGTAAAAAAACTGAAAGTCAATTCAGGGAGGAAGTTTAATAGCCCCTGGAGCAAATGGGAGTTTTGTTCATTTTGGAAATAATAACTCATGGCAGCTGGAAAGTGAACACATTTTGTTCCTTTAGAGAAACCCTGAGTGACAGCTGCCATCCTGCCCCATCGCCTGGAATAAATCTGCACATGCAGTCACCTTGGTTTGTTGGCACTTTTAACTTCTGAAACTGGCTTGGAAGTCTACATTTAAGGACACATGAATTCTTTCCTAAGAGAAATTCTGCATGTCACCCAGTGAACAATTATTTTAAGTTTTACTGAGTATGTTTGCGGTTGATGTTTTGGCAGGGGTCTGTGTGCTAGGCCAATGTTCCATTTTGTAGATTTTCTTATGCTGAAATGCTAGTCTATTCCAGTAACTAATTTATTCTTTCTAGAGTATATGTGGTCATAATTAATTTAAATAATTACCCTCTTATGGAGGTTTACAAACTGACAAGAGGAAAGTCATTGTTTAGAAATGTTTAAGAACCTGTAATAAATGCTATACAGTGCCAGTTTTTAGAAGTTGGGTATTGCAAAATACAAGTTCTGTGAAATGATATGCAAAACATCAAAAGAAATTAAAAACTTCTCTAGAACAGATGATTTCACTACCTAACATTTAAAGAAGAATCAACTCCAACTGCCCATGATCTAGGCCAAAACTCCTAAGAGGAGAGAACATTTTTCATTTCATTTGAGAGAGGTATTGAACTAACACCACAATCAGATGTATGAAAAAAGGAAATCCCTCATGAACATAGAAAAAAATACTCTAACAGCATTAGAATTCAGCAGGACAAAGAGAATTATACACTATAACGAAGTGAAGTTTATTCTATGGAAGAAAATCTAGTCCAATATTCAAAATTCAGTCAAGGTAACCCATCACATTAACAGAAGAAGAAGAAATTTCACATGATCATATCAATTGACATAGAAAAAAACTTGTGAAAATAATCAACATTCCTTGTAAAAAATATTCTCAACAGGGCCTCCCCTGGTGGCGCAGTGGTTGAGCGCTGGGTTGCGAGGCTGCCCGCAACCTCTGCAGCACCAGTTCGATCCCCAGCCACTGTTGAGGGTCCCACAAAAAAAAAAAAAAATTCTCAACAAACTAGGAATAGAGGGGAACTTCTTTAGCTTGATCAAGAACACCTGCCAACAGACTACACTGATATCTTACATGATGGTGAAGGCTGAAGGTCCCCTCTACTCCCACAAATGGGAACAATATGAGGGTGCCCACTTTCACCATTACAATTCCACTGTGTGGAAGTGCTAGGCGAAGCAAAGGCAAGGAATGGCAACAAAAGACCTACAGTTATAGTTGAGTCTCATTATTTGCAGTAGTTGTCTTCTATAAATTTGCTGTAATTACTGAGTTAGCAACTTCTGAACTGTTGCTCCTAAGGGAAGTATATTGTTAGGTTCCTGTGAGCCTCAGGTCACAACATTTTCATCAACTCAAACACTACGTGCATTATACAGTTTCTCTGCCAACATCCTTATAAATATCCTTATAAAATAAGCTTGTCTTATCAGCATTGACAACCTTTTCCCCTATCTATCACTTAGCAAGTATTTTTAAAATTCTTCTCCAGTCTCCTGATCTGCAGAACACACCTCACCTGCAAACTTAACATTTTTCATGCTGTGTAGCTGTTTGAAATGTGCAAACCAGATGGCATTAGCCAAGAAGGGTTCAACAGTTTTCTGATGCGGAGTAATGTGACCATCAATTGCTTTGACTTTCCTCACAACCATGCTGTCCACCACACTTTCTAGCAAGAATGTCATCACAGGAATCCGCAAATTTACCTGCCTTCCCATAGTGACTGAATACATTTTTCCAGAGCAGCCTCATGGACAGACTGGTGACTCTCCTCCTTTTTCTGGGTATACTATGTTGTTGATTCACTGACTTTGATCTCAACAGTCCCATATCTCAGGCTGACAAAGCTTGTGTTACGCATCTCTTTTCTTCTAAGGCACATCATAGCCTTTGTGTGCTTAGGAACACCAGACAGCATGTCAGCACTATACTTGAGACCTAAACAACTAACAAAATGCTCAAAAATGCAAAAAATGTGGCACAATATAGTCCACCAAAAGGACACACAAAGGCAGAGATCTCCTTGTTCGACCTCAGCAAAGAATAGGTACACCAAGAGACTAAAAATTTTCAGTGCTCTATGCATGTTTGCAGAAGACCATGAAAGCACTATGTGTATTGTTTTGAAGTTACAAATAAATTTTAGTGAATAAAATTACAAATATAGAATTCATGAATAATGAAGATCAATGGCATTTGCAAGTATGTATGTGACAAAGGATTCATATCTAGAGTACATAAAGAATTCTCAAAACTCAACAGCATAAATGTTATGTACTTATTGTGGGAATCACTTTGAATATATACAAATATCAAATCATTATGTTGTACATCTAATACAATGGTTTGTGTCAATTATATCTCAATAAAAATAAAACTCAACTGTAAAAATATAAACAATGTAATTAGAAAATGGGCAAAAAGTCTTAGAGAAATATTTCATCAAAGAGGCATATGAATGACAAATGAAGCACATGAAAAGATATTCAACATCATTAGTCATCAGGAAAATTAAAACCACAAAGAGATATAACTAGATACCTGTACTGAAAATGCTCGATGCCTGGCAGACTCATCCTGGATTTGGGCAGACCAAAGAAGAGCTGAGGAACCGTGGGTAGTTCTGACATAACTTTATTGCTTCAGCAGGGGACAAGCTATGGGGCAGTGTATGCGACAATGTATGTGGCAGAGTCAGTGGAAAGTTCCACTGGTCTTTTTATAGCATTTAGAGACAAAGGCGGCAGTAGGCCAAATATGTGATGGTTACCTAATGTCTATAGTTTAGCACAAGAGGGGCACATATCATGGTTACTTAACGTCTGCGAGCCTGGGTGACTCCATGTTTCTCCCCTGACCCCACAACACCCATCAAAACAGCTAGCATAAAAATGATGACAAGACCATAGGCTGGGGAGGATGAGCATGGACCTCTATGGCATGGCTGGTGGAATATAAAATGATATCACCACTTCAGAGAATAGTATGGCAGTGTCCTAAAGACCTAGACAGCCATGCACCATACAACTTAGCAACTGCAGTCCTGAGCTTTTGCCCCAGAGGAGTGGAAATTTAAGTCTACATAAAAATCTATACATGAATGCTTGTACCAGCTTTATTTTAGTAGCTTAAAATTAGAGACAATCACAATATTCTCAACAGGTAAATGGTTAAGGTAAGCTGTGGTTCATCCATACTGTGGAATAATACTCAGCAATAAAAAGGAACGCAGTGATGATGCAGCAACAATTAGGATGGATCTCAAGGACGTTATGCTAGGGAAAAAGTCGTTCTTTATATATCACTGCACATCTATTTGAATGACTATCAAAAGACCAACGTATTAGCAAGGAAACAGAGAGAAGAGAACCTTTGTAATACTGTTGGTGGGAATGTAAACTGGTGCAGACAGTGTGGAAAACAGTAAAGAGATCCCTCAAAAATTAAAAATGGAAATTCCACGCAATCCACTTATCCTACTTCTGGGAATTTACTGAAAGAACACAAAAACATTAATTCAAAAAGGTATATGTATCCCCAAGTTCATTGCAGCGAATGCTACTTAGCTATTTAAAAAAGATGAAATGTCTTAATTTGTAACACCATGGATGAACCCAGAAATATTGTGCAAAGTGAGGCAGTCAGATGGAAAAAGACAGATACCATACGATTTTACTCATAAATGGGAGATAAAGAAACAAAACAAGTGAACAAATCAAACCAAACAAAAACAAATCCTTAGACTCTAAGAACAAAACCGTGGTTACCAGAAGTCACGGGGGAGGGGGCAATTGGGTAAAAGGGGTCAATTGTATGGTGAGGGATAGAACCTAGAATTTTGGTGATAAGCATAAAATTATATATACAGATGTTGATATAGAAGTCTGTATCCCTAAAGCCAATAAGCTATAAACCAATAAGCTATAAAAAAATTTAATTTTAAAAAAGAAAAAGGTAAATGACTAATTCCTGAAGCTCACAAAAGGTATGATGCCACTTAAGAATACTCTCAAGAGGACAAAGTTACAGAGGTGGAGATCACATTGGGGGGTGTCAGGATTATGGTTACTGGTAAGGGAGGGACACAGATGGGCAAGCTGGAGGGGTTCTTTGTGGTGATGGCTCAATTCTGTGTCTTGGTGACTGGAACCTGCATAGGTGAGGAAATGACAGGACAGTGCAAACATACCCTGCCAATTTCAGTTTCTCAGTTTTGCTGTTGCTCTACAGTTCTATAAAATATCATCAGTGAGGAAACCAGGGCCAGGCACGTAGGGCCTCTTTGTATTTTTTGTGTGTGTGCAAGTTTCTGTTATGCTATTATAATTTCAAATGAAAAGTTTACAACATCTTTAAAAGACATGTAATGCCTTGGGAGAAAGTGTTTCCAATAGCAATGAAAAAACAAGCATCAATAACAGAGACTGTCCAAAGAAGTTGTACAATCGATAAGTGAAAGAGAGACTGAGAAAAATGGGCAAAGCACACATGCCGCACATTCACAGCACAGGATGGAAAATGCCAGATCCGCCGTGAAGACGTCCTGCTTTAAGAGAGTGTAAGAGCGTGAGAATGTGTCCATCAGGACATCAGGTCGCCTGGACTTCATGTGTCTCCTTGAGGTGCAAGCCATGTTGGTGAACAGAAATGGGCCCAGAATAGCATCTCCTGGGCTGAGTCAAGTGTGTCTAGTGAACTCACCTCTAATTTTGGGCTCTGCACCAGAAAATCCTCTTCTCTGTCTGTATCTCCCATATCAGAGGGGTTTCAGTTTCTTTTTGAATTTTCCTGCCACTGGACCCAGGCCTGCTGAAGGCATAGCCACATCCTGCTCATCTTCAAAGCCGCAGTCTCGGCAGAACTGGACATATGGAGGCTCAGGAAATACTTGTTGGCTGATCAACTTGCTCATCCAAAGTGCACTGGCAAATGAACAACCTATGTTTCCCAACACCTCCCCCTGCTCAGAGTTTTCAGAAGGTGAGTCTTTTCTTCTGCCTCAAGGCAAATGCATTAAGATAATGTATCTCCTTTCAAGGCCATTGTGTCTAATGAAATTCTTTTTTTGGTTTTACAAAACAATAAGAGCAGTAACAAGCAGCACCAACTCTGAGGCAGGCTCCTTGTCAATAGCTGTGTATTTTTAGCTGGGCAACAGCAGCAAAAAGATCCGGGGCAAAGCATTTGCCTTTCTAAGCTGCAGGAGTGACTTCAGTCTTCACTAACCCCCTGGAATATACTGTGACCTCTGGAGTGGAGATATTGGCAGGATCGAGGATCCTCTTCAACACCAACTGGCCAAATGACCTCTTTCTACTCCCACCTGCCGCCTTCATGGTTACTTCAACTTCAGTATTAAAGGAACAAAATAAATGATGAATACTCATTTGGGACAATGATTCATATATTCCGCACACTAAAAATCCCCTTTTTGTATCTTCATGTAATTCAAGTCAGAGATCAAGTCTGTCTGAGGATGTGTCATCCTGGGAGGTGAGGGAGGAGAACAAGGTCTTTAGCTATTTTGTTTTGTGTTTTATGAGCTTTAGCAGGAATGGAATTGATACCGGAATTGTCAGGCCTAGTCTCCCAGCCAGGAACGGATCCCAGGCTGCAGGGGCAGCGCTGAGCCCCAGCCACTAGACCCCCACGGGTTGGTGTCTCACGAAGCCCCAGCAGGAACTTCGCAGACTCTCAGGCAAGCAAGCGAGAAGAGGCAGGTTTGTTCAGAGAAAGAAAAAGTTTATTGAGGAGAAAAGGTACAGAAATAAAGTGGGACTCCCAGGCCAGGGAACCAGGCCAGGGAGGGGCAAGGAAGCCAAAGTGGAGTCGTGTCCCAGGGAATATAGACCTTCTTTCCCTAATTATTTTAAAGCTCCACTAGTCTCTTTGTGATTGGTTAGTTCTTGGCTGTTTCATTTAATTTGCTACTGAGCAGGGGATCTTCACATTCCTTATCTAACAGGTTTCTCTTTCCCCATTTGTTACTTCTTTATCTTTATGGCCCAGTCCTCTGGATGGGCATCCCTGCATTGAAGTTAAACAGCTGCCCTTCTAAGTTGTCCATAAATTAAACCATTCTCCATTTCTCCAATCTCTGCCTCCCTTTACCACCTGAAGGAAACCAGGGCCAGAGTTAACAATGTTGTCCTTGGTCCTGGGATGTTTGTTTTTCCTAGTGGAATTAGTTACACTCCTCTTGCTGCCCTTATCTCTGAAGCCTTCTTTAACTGTCTGAGGTCCCCTCCTGCAGTGTCCCTAAAACTGCCTAATTACCCTAACTTGCCCTGTGTCTCAGAATCACCCATCTCATCATGAATCCTGAGTCTGAAACTTGCAGCAAAAATACCCTAAGACCTCAGGGACAGTCACCTCCGCTAGTCTTCTCATTACAGGAAAATTGCAGCATTAATCTGAATTCTTCGTGCTTCACCAAGATCAGCAAATTACAGCACTTGACCAGTTATATTTCAAGAGGACAGATGCCACCATCAGTGACAGAGTGCACACCACGTCTGTCCTCTGTCATCACAGGAGAAAGTACACCTTGATCTCCGCATCATGGATATTTCCTGCTCCATATTTGCTTACCACTCACCCTTACTCCTGGTTTTAAAGATTTGTTGGATTATAGCTTAATAGGTAAGAGTGATGCTGGCATGTATTACAGCTGCTGCTGCCACTTTACCACGAGTTCTTGTCTCGTGAAACCATAGAAAGGAATTCACAGACTTTTCAGATAAGTAAGCAGAGAGAAACAAATCTTATCTTAGAAAGGAAAAGTTTATTGAGTAGAAAAGGAACAGAAATAAAGTGGGACTCCCAGGCCAGGGAACCAGGCCAGGGAGGGGCAAGGAAGCCAAAGTGGAGTCGTGTCTCAGGGAATATAGACCTTCTTTCCCTCATTATTCTAAAGCTCTACTAGTCTCTTTGTGATTGGTTAGTTCTCGGCTGTTTCACTTAATTTGCTACAGAGCAGGGGATCTTCACATTCCTTATCTAACAGGTTTGTCTTTCCCCATTTGTTGCATCTTTATCTTTATGGCCCAGTCCTCTGGATGGGCATCCCTGCAATGAGGTTAAACAGCTGCCCTTCTAAGTTGTCCATAAATTAAACCATTCTCCATTTCTCCAATCTCTGCCTCCCTTTACCACCTGAAGGAAACCAGGGCCAGCGTTAACAATGTTGTCCTTGGTGCTGGGATGTTTGTTTTTCTTAGTGGAATTGGTTACACTCCTCTTGCTGCCCTCATCTCTGAAGCCTTCCTTAACTGTCCGAGGTCCCCTCCTGCAGTGTCCCTAAAACTGCCTAATTACCCTAACTTGCCCTGTGTCTCAAAAGCAGGCAGTCACACTCACCTGGACTGCATGAGATTTTATCAAAGACTTTTTCTTCTCCATTTCAAGCAAAAACAAACAGAAAGTCTCAAAAAAAAAAAAGCACAATAATCTCGTAGTAGTTTTGATACTTTGTAACTGTAACTAATTATGCAAACCTCTGTGATTTTCATAGCATTGTGTTACCTATACATGACTGTAAGGCAGGAACTGGACACGGTGCAGGTTTTCTGATCCCATGCAAACCTGGTAAAGGAGGAGTCAGAGTCCTCAGTGGTTTTGCAGGTCTTTTATTGGGGTTCAGCGGGTACGTGAAAGGCAGGGGTGCTGGCTGGGGGGCTGGGAGGCTAGCAGGCCTCCCAGCCCCCAGCAAGTCTTCACTCTATCTGAGCTCTCTGGAGTTCCTTCTGCTGCTTCTCGGCTTCTCTTTCGGCTTCAGCTTCAGCTTCTACTGATGCTGATGGTGTCCCCGTGATGCCGCCCTTAAAAGCACAGTCTTAGCTCAGCTGAATCCCATCTACCTATGCCCACACCCTACTCCAGGTGCCCGCCATCAGGCATGCATTCAGGACAAGGATCCATCATCTATCCTGATGGCGGAAGGGCAGAAAAGCCTGATATTTTCTTTACCCTACAATGACTGCATAACAAATTGCTCCAAGACTCCCTTGGTCTCTAAGGTCAGGGATGGGGGCTGGGGTGATCTGGGTGTTCCTAGCTCCAGTTGCTCAGGAGGCTACGGTCACATGTGGGCCAAGCCGTGGTCTCATCTGCAGGCCAGACTGGGGTTGGAGCATTTGTGTCATTTGTTGTCCCCATGTAAAAGGGTGGTCCTCAGGAAAGGGGGAGGTTCCAGGTTTCCTGCCCCACCCAGGAGAGCGTGGAGCTGAGCAGGGAGAAGAAGAAGCTGCAGAGGAGACTGAGAAAGAAGGAAGCAGGATGGAGAGCCAGAAGGAGACCTGGAGGAGGCACATGGAGCAGAGAGACATGTAAAGAAACTTCACTTGCCTTTTGGTCGTGGACTGGTTGAATTAAATGTGGGTGAGAGACCCTTGGGGAGGTGACAATGGCAGCTTTTATCTTGATTTTGATTTTGCTCTTTTCCTCCCAGACTTATCTGGTTGCTTCTAATCCTTTTCTGTGGGTCCCCACTGGAAGGTGCTTTGGACTTGGGGCAGGCTTTCAGGTCTTGTTCTAGGCCAATTCCATTTGGATGGATTTTTACCCACAAAGGGATGGGTTACTTTGGGTTCTTGATTTAGAAACTATATTCTTTGCCTTTCCTGTACTGTTTACTAATTGTATTAAAGTTCCTTTTCATTAAAGTCTCATGTTTTTGTGTTGATGTGGTGGATGGCAGAACCTATTTAGAGCAGGCAGGCTTGCGGGGTCTGGGGTGCCCCTCTCCCTGCCCTGTAACACCCAGGTATCACTGAAAATTGGCCAGAGACCTCCATTCCTCCCCATGTGGGCCAATCTGTGAGGCTGGTTTCCCAGCACAAGTGATGGAGTCAGGGGAGCCAGCAGCAGGACAGTCATGGCTTCTTTTCAGACCTATTTGTGGAAGTGACATGCCATCACTTATATGTATGCCGGTGGCAACATGGACCCACGTGGACCCTAATGGAGGGAATTAGGTGTGAAAACCAAAATGTGGGGTTCATGGGAGGCCATCATGGAAACTAGCAGCAAGAGCCATAGAAAAGCTTGGCTAAGTAGGGATAGCATACTAGCTAGTGCTAACAAAGAATCAAAATTAGTCCTCCATTTTGCAAATAAGACACCACACACAGCTCATCCTGGAAACTACCATTGCACATCAGATTTTTAGCAGTGACCTGCTATAGCCTGGAGAATTTGCAGTTATTACCAGAGCCATATTCCCAACGATGTAGAAATAATGGAAATATATGGCATTCTCAGCCTGAGAACCCCTTAGGGTCCCCAGTACCCTCTGGAGAGCTTATCTGTAGCTTTTGTTGCTGCTTATGGGCACTTTCAGGAATGGGCATCTGGGCTGAACAGTAAGGCCAGACCATGGGGATGAACTGCCAGACCAGGCTGGTAATGACTGCCAGCAAAGCTGGTGTCAGTGGCTGAATCCCATCCATGTTTTCTGCCTCACTGGATAGGCCCTGAGGGGCTTCAGGGAATGTCTTGGGCCAAAAATATCAGAGACTTAAAAGTAGTTTGGTCAAGTGTTGTGGTCCCGTTTCAAAGGAAGGAAATGCCCCCGGCCACTGGCGGAAGGGAGGGGTGTGGGGGCATTTAGCAATGCAGGTGGTTTACAGCATGAAAGACTGTCTTTGAACCTAAACTATGCCTTTCCCGCAGTCTGTTTTTCCATCCATCTTCTTTAAAATGCCGATTTCCTGCTATCGGATGGGCACGCACATTCAACTGTTTGAGGTTTCAGAAAGTCCTTGATTTTTAGATGACTAAAGGCTGAGAGACTGTGCCATAGCAAATACTTTAATGGAAAATAATGTACTTATCTCAAGTTTTCCTTAAAAAATTCTAGTATGAGAAAAGTTTGGACAATTGAAAATGGAGTCAGAGAGGCTGAGTCTATAGACCCATGTTGAAATTGTCATTCAGGGCTGCAAGAAACCCTGGTCAGGAACCCTAACCACATACTCTGCAGAACTTCCCCTCCTGAGTGAGGGGGGAGGTGTTAACTCCTGCTGGAAACATCCA